TACTCACCAAAGTAGGAGGTGGAACAATGTTTTGTGTAGTATATTATGCCAATTGAGCTTGATGTCCCCTGCGACTATGGTCCCGAGCCCACAGGTCCAACTACTCACTTTGGGTAGCTGGCTGTGGCCAAGAAGTGACGACAAACTTGTCCCTTGTCAGCTCTACTATACACCTGGGAATTCTTACAGAACATACAAATACACTTGTAGAACATTGTCTGCCAACCCTATACATGGTCTTGGGCTGCATAGACATACCTAATAGTTCTGCCTGTCCACCCACCTATGCACCCGTATATCCATGTTTGCCTACATTGACGATGCAGTACTGTATGTGCAAAAGGGTTCATCTTTGTTGTCTGTACCTCCCATGTACCTCTCTATGATTTCCTCTTCCTCAATGCCACCATGTTGATCACTCACATTTGGTACATTGCCCTTCTCTTCACCCAAATCAATACTTGTCTCTACCTATGTAACAGTGTTCTCTCCCTTCTGCTCCCACCCCTGGTAACCAACAGAGAAAATTTCCTTCTATATATAAACCATTCCTTGACTTTTTATAATAATGGACTAATACAATATTTGTCCTTCTGCAATTGACTTATTTTGCTCAGCATAATGTCCTCCAAGTTCATCCACATTATGCAGTGTTTTGTAGATTGTACGTTATTCTTTAAGGTTGCATAGTATTCCATTGTGTGTACCATAGTTTGGTTATCCATTCTTTAGTTGATGGACACCTAGGTTGTTTCCATCTTTTGGCTATTGTAAATAGTGCTGCAATGAACATGACTTTGCCCAATTCTTAATTGGGTTGGTTGTCTTACTGTTTTTAAGTTGTAGAAGTTTTTATGTGTTTTGGATATTAGACCCCTTATTGGATCTATGGTTCCCCAAAATATTTACACACAGTGAAATGTACAGACATGAAGTGTACAGTTGGATTAGTTCTGACAGATATGTCCATATGCTCTGCATCCCTGTTAAGACATAGACTATATCCATTATCAAAGAAATTTCCTTTGTGCCCTTTCCCTTTAAATTTCTTTTCTTAAATCCCCCTACCCACAAGAAATGGAGCTGAATGATTTCTTCATTATTTTTTTGATGTTTAAATTGGCCCAACGTTTGGCAATGAAAACCCCTTCAAGTTGGCTCTGTGTCCTTTTGACATGTTCCTTTTAATCTTTGAGCACTTTCTTGTTTTCTGGCATGAGGTTTTTTTCCTAAAGTTGTCTTGAACAGGTGCAAATATCTCATGGTATGGATACTATTTATTTAATAGTTTTCCCATTCATGAGCTTTAGGTTATATCCTTGTTGATCCCTTCCTTGCACACTTACATGAGTATTTTTGTAAGCCAGAGCCCTTGAATTGATATTGCTAGGCCAAAGGGCCTACACGTTTAAATTTTTTATTAATATTGTCAAATTCTTCTACTTTTTGTTAAAAAAATAATTTTATTAATCTATTTTACTTTTGTTGTTGTTGAGAACATACACAGAACATTATGCCAGTTCAACAAATTCTACATGTACAGTTCAATGACCTTGATCATATTAAGTTGTGCAACTATTGTCACCCTCCTTTTCTGAGTTGTTCCTGCCTCATAACATAAACTTACTGCCCCTAAGTTTCCTACCTAATCTTTGGAGTTGCTGTTGTCAATTTGATCCCATATGGATACTTCTTAAAAGAGCACAATGCTCAAAGCAGACATTCTTTTCTAGTTAAGCTAAAACTATTGCTTGGTCTTAAGGAGACTTCCGTGGAAGGAAGACTGGGCAATCTACTTCTGTAAAGATTTACTGTCTCAGAGACCCAAAGAGGGTCGCTATGAGTCAGAATCGTCTCAGTGGCAGTGGGTTTGGTTTTTTTTTTTTTTTAAGAGTTCAGGGGATATTTTCGGTTTAAGGTTTAAGGCTTAAAAACGATCTCAGGGTAAGAGGTTTTGGGGTTCATCCAGCCTTCATGGCTTCAGAAATTCTGGACTCCTTGAGAATTTGAAATTCTGTTCTGCATTTCCCTTCTTTTGATCAGGATGCTTCTGTAGAATCTTTGATCAAAATATTCAGTAGTGGTAGCTAGGCCCCACCAAATTCTTCTGGTTTCATGATACAGTAGGCAATTAGCCACACATTCAATTTCCTCCTCTTATTCCTGACTCTCTCTCTCTCTTCCTCTGTCACTCCATGCAAATAGAGACCAATTGCACCTTGGATGGCTGCTTGCAAGTTTTTAAGACCCCAGATACTCTGCAATGAACTAAGAGGTAGAATAAACATGATAGGCCAGTTAACTGGGGTGTCTAATGAAACTGACCCTAAACCTCCAAACCAAAGAACCAAATCCAATGAGGTGTTTGATTGTATATAAGTAGCCTTAGCAGTATTCTTTTTGTTGTTGTTGTAAATTATCCATTATACAACTTTTCTAGTTCCTTTTCACAAGTGTACAACTTACTGGCAGCAGTTACATTAATCAGCTGTGCATCCTTGATGTTAATCAATGTGATTTTTCTGTTACCAGAAACTGAAACTCAGTGATCCCTAAGCAATAACCCCTCCTTTGCCTCTCCCCCCTTCTCCTGATAACCACGTCCATATGTTAGTCTCTGTACATTTGTCTGTTCTTGTCTTTTCATATAAATGGTCATATAATATTTGCCCTTTTGTGTTTGACTTATTTCACTCAGCTTAATGTCTTCATACTCCACTCATACTGCAGCACGTATCAAGACTTTGTTTTTCTTCTTGGTTGTGTAGTATTCCATTTTATGTATGTACAACATTTTGTTCATCCATTCATCTGTTGATGGACATTTAGATTGTTTCCACTGTTTGGCTCTTGTGAATAGTGCTGCAATGAGCATTGGTGTACATATGTCTATTTGAGTTGCTGCTTTCAGATCAATTGGGTATATACTTAACAGTGGAATTGCTGAGTCATATGCCAGTTCTATTTTGGTGTTGGGAGGAGCCACCACACTGTTTGCCATGAGGCTGTATAGTTTTGCATTGTTACCAGCAATGGATAAGCATTCCAATATCCCCACATCCTCACCAATATTTGTTATTTTATTTTACATTTTTTTTTTAATCTTAGCCGTCCTAGTTCTCCTATTCCTTTTTAAAAAACTGTATTACTTAAGTTTCCACAAACAGTGCTGATTTCCCCACAGCCTTGCTAATACTAAATTTTATCTGTTCATGTATAAATGGTAGTACAGAATTTTAATTTGGACTTACCATTGAGCAAAGTGGACATCCAAACCTCAGTTCCTCCGTTTTGGTTCCAAGTCCTTCAGTTTTGATTTGTATAGAAATGGAATCTCTTCTCAAAGGAGAAGTTATATGCAAGGTGAAATGTTTGCCATTGTCTGTCATTCAGTGTTACATTTATCTTTATTCAACTTTGGGACAGATTCTCTTACTGTTTTTTATTCTGCATTAATCATGTGTAAGATAAATTATGAAATGGGGGACACTATAACCAGGACTTCCGATTCTCTTGAGCAGTCTTTATGAAATTTGGTTCACGGTCACTGATCTGTATTTCTATCTTTAAATAATGATTGGAAATGTTTCTTATTTTGCAATGATCTATGATGACTTTATCTTTTGGATAGCAGGCTTGTCATAAAATTTGTGTGTATGTATGTTTGATCATGCTCTGAGACCAATTGATAAACAAATTTATTTTAAAATATTGAACTTTAGGTTTAAACACCTTTGTGAGTGACTTGCAGCTTTTGTTTGTTTTCTTACTTTTTTATAGGTTGAGGAGGTTGCTTGAAAACTTTGATTTCTGCTGAAGTTACTTGTGTTATTTTTCTCCATAGGTGTTTGAAGCTGTGATTTCCTGGATCAATTATGAGAAAGAAACCCGTTTAGAGCACATGGCAAAGCTGATGGAACACGTTCGTCTCCCTCTCTTACCTAGGGATTACCTGGTCCAGGTGAGTGCTGTGTGAAGATCCAGGCACTTCGCTGTTGATCCAGGGCTCTTTAGGAATAGCACTGGGCAGCCCTAGTTCTGTGGAGTGGTTGAGGAATTTTATGAATACTTTGGTATGGGTTGAGGGTACCAGCCTACTGGGTTAAGTCTGAGATGTGGTGGTTTAATAACAAAGGTTTGAAAATAAAACAGTTAAGTTTGAGTCTCTGTTCTACTGCTTCATAGCTGTGAGTTCTTATTTAACATTTTCAAGCTTCAGTTTCTTCTTCCATAGAATGGATATTATTATACAGCCCAGCAGGGTTGTTGTGGGACCAAAGAAGGTAAGTATGCAAGTCAAGTATTCAGCATGAAGTCTAGTATATCAAATGTGCAATGAAAGTTACCTGCTCTTATTCTAATGGGCCAAAGCAAGGAAGGTCATTTGCATAATGTTTCTCTGTTCCCTTTTTGCTTAGTTTTAGGCAACTTGGAGCCCAAGTCGGGACTGTAAAATCCAGTTCCTTACAGGTGCCTGGAATATATACTGCTTCTACTTCCCCTGAGAAAGGAAAGCAAAATCAAGAATTATGGGGTGTTCCTATGATGTCACATGTTTTCTCATTTAATCTTCATAATAGCCCCGTGAGGCAAAGTTTATAACTCTTTTTAACAAATCTGGGCCTTAAGGCTTATGGAAGTATGGGGATAGTAAGAGGCAGATCTGGATTCAAATCCACGTCTGGATCTATAGCAAATACTTCCATTAAGCTGTCACCTTTTATAACCTTTGTTCACTTCACCCATTACATGATTGATTTGGTGTAGTTAATGGTATTAGATACTCTTACAGGGAAGCAGAGGATAATCCTTGGGGTATGAATGAAACAAAATACTGAGGCAGTAGGCCAGCCCTCAGCTGTCCACAAGGAGGCTCTGGAAGGATAGGGAGGTATGATGCAAGGATTAGAGAGTAGGCTTTGTCACTTCCCAGCCATATCATACTAAACAAATACTTAACCTTTCTATGCCTCAGTTTTCTCACCTGATAAAAATAGCACCTGCCTTTACAGAGTTGTGTGAGGATAAAATAAAGTCGTCAAAGTAAAACCTTCAATAGAGTTCAGTGCGTCTTAGCTGATACTGCAACTATTTTGTGACTACTGCTAGTATTGATAACAGTGGGAGATATAGTTTCCTCACTGGTACTTAAAGTCTTTAGTTCATGACACTGTTGACCACAGGCCTCAGGGGTCAGTAAAATGTTCTCTAAATTTCTGTATCTCAGCCCTCTTTTCAGGTGCTGAGAGATACACTTTAGGTCTTGGTAGCTGCTCTACATTTTATGTTTTGGATGACACTACTGCCACCTGGTGGCCACATATCCTTCCTACAGAAAAGGTCCTTTAAGCCTTGGGACGGAAACTGCATGAGCTTAGTGTCAGAGTCAAACCTTACTCTGTCCTGATGGAAACCTTACAGTGTCTTGAGGTGGAGGTGGGTGTCTGATCTCTAGCTTACTCTCATTTCCACAGTGAGGGAGGCTAGGATGTGGGGCCTGGATTTCAGAGAAAGTTCAAGGGACCTTAGAGACCTCTCTAGTCACAACCTCAGTAAGGGGTCTACAACCAAAACTTAACAAAGACATCAGAAATTGTTCCTGGGTTACTATGGCAAAGTGAGATTTAGATCTGGAGAAGGAGGTCAGAGGCAATGGGCATAAGATCTGTTGTATTTTATTTATTTATTTAAAATAAAAAGGGCTTATTAAAAACCAAGCCTCTCAGGGTAAACACTTCCAGGAGAGGATGTTTCATTAACACTCATTTGGCCTTGAAACTTGCAAGTACTATAACTCATTGGGGTTGACTGATAGTGGTGGAGAAGGGGAAGAAGTGGAAGCCCTTGGCAGACCTGTGCCAACACTACCCTGACTGAGAAGCTGTTAGTTCAAGCTGAATGAGTTATTTTGGAGAAGTAGCTACTCATGCATTTTTCCCTCCTCCCAAGCTTTTCTAGAGATCCTGTCCAACCTTTCCTAATTTTTTTAAAATGAATTCTAAAAGTTTGTGCTTAACCTGACTCAGTTCCCTTGTAGAAGAGACCTCCAAGAAAATGATGTGTCCTTGGGGCTCATGTCTAGAGAAGGAGGTGCACAGAGGTGTCCTGCCCATCCTTTTCCCATGCCAACTCCAGTACTGTCCAGCAGGCAGTGGCCCCTGGTCATATTTTCATTCCTAATGACAGGTGAGAACCCAGAATCACCAGACAAGACCGTAGTCTTGCTAATGAAATATTTAGGCTCACATTTCCTGAGCACCTACATAGGTCTTGATCTGGAAACATAGAGGTGAAAAAGCCATGTAGTCACAGCTTGTTGTTGTTGTTATGTGCCGTCGAGTCGGCCCCGACTCATAGCGACCCCTCCTTGGGTTTCCGAGGCAGTATCACTACGGAAGTAGGAT